CCTTTCCTAGAGGTGTGACCTACAAAAGGGGAGGAAAGCTGCACCAGGCACAGTGTTTTTGACCTTGCTTCAGCAAAAAATGAGTTGTAAAAAAAAAAGCAAAGGTAAACTTCTGACATAGGTTCACCTGGTTATGCAGCTATTGATTTACTTATAATGCTATCAACAATAAGATTCAAAAACTTTCTAGTAATGGCCTCTTTCACCCAAGTTCTCAGAAAACAATAACAATAGATAACAAGCTTAAAATCACTTAGAAAAACTGGATTTGAGAACAGGGACATAAATTACAGTTCGTCATTTCTGTAAGTTTGCATTCTATAGTTTGATTTGCTCTCAATTACCTCCAGGATGCTGAACTGCTCTTACAAGTCACAATGATTCAACTTAAAAACTTTTTTTGGGTACAGTGAACCTTGTGGCACTTAACCACCAAGCCACATTCCTAGGGCTTTTTATTTTTTATTTAGAGGCAAGTTCTCACTAAGTTGTTTAGGGCCTTACTATGTTGCTGAGGCTGGCTTTGAACTTGCAGTCCTCCTGCCTCAGCCTCCTGAGTCACTGGGATTACAGGCATGTGCCACTGTGCCAGCTCATCATAAACCATTTAAAATTTTTTTCTTAATCTGGGAATATCTCAATTGGAAGATCATAACTTTATATCACTATATTGTTGTATAAAATACTTTCATATTCCAATTATATTTAAAATACAAACCATCCCTTGTTAATAAAGACACCCAGGTTATTTATTGGTTGTTTAATTTGCAGTGGCAGTAGTATGATCTGACTTCTGCTAGGATAGTGACACTAGGGATAGAGGAAGGTGGGACAGATTTGAGGGACATTTAGAAAATAGAACCATAGGAAATTGAGAATCAATGGTGAAAAGCAAGAAGAAAATGAGAAATTAAGTATGATGATCAGGTTTATGTCTAGAGCAATTAGCTGGGCAGTGGTGTCAATGCCATCTATCATGGCAGGGGAGAAAAAAAGAATGAACAGGGGAGATCATGAAATCTGTTTCGGCATACTGAATGTGAGGTGCTTGCAAAAGATGCACTTGGACAGCTGGGTATACAGTTTTAGTGCAGGTTGTTCTCGTGTAAGTGAAAGAGTTTGCACTAACACCTAAACCTTTTGAATTTCAGTTACTACATTTATAAGGAGCATGCTATTCTAGATAATCTCTTTGGTACTTCCCAGCCTAAAACTTCAGAGAATCTGACAACTTTAGTCATTAAGTAATTTGGTTTGGTTTGGATTTCCAGTCTCATCTTAAAACTTTGGAGTACCATGCTGTCTATGAGCATTTTACTTTGATACTTGAACAAAAACTATTAACTATCTGGGAGCTCAAGTATTCATACAACCTTGTTTTAAATTTTAAGACTGAAAGTCAAAAAGACTGACTTCCCCTACTTATTAAAGACACAAATTAAGACTCCTGGCCTTTCTTGGGAAGAATACAGCATAGAATCAATCAATCAATTTATTGATAGAACATACACATAAATATATATTGATCTATACAAATACACACATGTATATACACATATTCTTTTCCATGAATTCTTGCCCTCATAGACTTGGATGTTCAAAGGACATTATTTCTATAAGAGGGCAAAAGAAGAGCAGAAAATATGAAGGGCATGAAAAAGGGGTTGGATAAGCAAAATCTGTAAGGTTTCCTGTATATATTTTTTAAAAAGAAAATAAACATTTAAATTGGCATCTTGCAGTGTGGCAACACAAAATTAAGAAGTAATGGAAATACCAAGTCTCCTGTCCAGACATAATTATCTCAATCATTTCAACACTGAATAGTCTGGATTCTCCTGTCTTCCTTCCTTCTGATTTAAATATAACTTCAAATTAAATCATTTCCACATTAGCAGAATCAATAATTTTAAGTTCAAGGGAAGAGAAATGTTTTCAATCTGACATATTTAAATAGCCTGGACAATAAACACAACCCTGGTTCCATGCACAGGATTTTTTTCTGTGAAATAACTGACATGTGAATAGCTTAAAATAATCATTAGAATTTCACTTGAACAATATGATTGGTCTATGAAGTATATCCGCACCCCTATAATATAAAGGCAAAACTGCACTGGGACTTAAAAGCATGGGCTTTGGAGTCAGAATTTGGTTCAGACCCTCGTGGTCTGTCAAGTAGTCTCAAAGTCGCAGTCTTCTCTTCAGTAAAATGAGGAAGATAATACCATATTACAAATTTTTCTAAGGATTAAAAGTGATTAAGGGGCTGGGATTGTGGCTCAGTGGTGGAGTGCTTGCTTGCTTAGCTTGTGTGAGGCCCTGGGTTCGGTTATCAGCACTACATATAAATAAATAAAATAAAGGTCCATTGACAACAACAAAAAATATTTTTTAAAAAAGATGTTATGAAACAAAAATAAACATTGTTTCAATTATAATTGTTAGACTTTTGTTACAAAAGGTACTTTTGGAGTCATCACTTCAAGGGTCTAAAACTTCAAATCTTAAAGCAGTTAATTTAAAAATAATCGACTCCAACTTTCATTACTATTGATTTTTTTTCCCCTTCAAGGAATACCGTGCATGACACTGTATTGAGAACCAAGCAGGAATCCTAGTTCCAATTCTGATGTAAAAACTATTCAACTTACTTGTGCATAATATCTTGATATGAAGAATATAGAGCAAGTTCTAATGAGACTACATTTTATAATTCACAGAAGGGCACAGTTAATTCTTGACTTTTTCAGTTGACTACAACTGTAACTTAGTAAAACAAAGTTATTCTGGTGTTGAGATACACTGGTGTTGAGATACACTGACTTTTGAGTAGTACTGCCATAATAACTTTTCATTTGTTTTTGTTTACAAGTGCAACTGTTGTATACATCTGCCACTATCATCTAAGGTTTTTAAAGTTTTTAAACCAAACTTAACTACATGATGTTTCCAGACAAGATAGAACTTCTTCCCCTATAATGTGGGGGAAATTGAACTTGGGGCCTTGCACATGCTAAGCAAGCACTTGATTACTGAGCTACATCCCCAACCCCTAAATTTTGAGACAGGATCTTGCCAAGTTGACCAGGCTGGCCTTGAATTTGCAATCTTTCTGCCTCTGCCTCCCAAGTAGCTGGTGTTACTGGTGTGTGCCACCATACCCAGCACTGCAACGTATTTCCAAACCAATACACATAATGTAGTACCAGACTGGAAAAAACAAACATAACAACTGGATGCATAAATAGATGATTAACTATATGTGAACTTTCAGTTAAAAAAAGAATGAAACAATAAAATTCTGATCGAAAGTTTCCATTTACATTGTCCTCCAGTAATTGTTATCTCTTATGTGATAATTTGATAGCTCTAAAAGAGTAAGAAAAAGTCCTTTAATATTTCATGATAGGTTTAATTAGGTAATTCCAAGAGGGAGGGAACCATTAAAACAAATTCTTATGATATCATCTGGTATGTCCAATTACATGAGTATCGTAACAAAAAGTTACAAACGTATATATGCGTATTTACATTGTATACTCGAAACTATCAAGCTAGTCAACTATATCTGAGGAGATAACATTATGACATGAGTTAAACAATTTTTCATTGCTCATTAGAAAAAATGCAGTCAAGCTTTTAATGGAAATAATGTACAAGTGAGGCACTTTTGAGATCAAGAGAATAGAAAGCAAATGATACTACACACTGGAAATGTTCACAAAAATCTATGTGTATCTTTAATACAAAGGCTTTTCAACTAGATTATTCTTGAAAAATTTCAAAACAATTATGCAATTTAAGCTTTCAGTAACAATGGCTATCATTTATCAGTGTACCAAAGCATATGAAAGTTTTATAACCACCTGGCTGCTAGGCAAATAGTACTTTAAAGCCCTTTTTCTCCCTCTCTCTCCCTCTCATTTTAATATAAATCACCTCTGGTCGTGTTTCTTTTTTAAAAAAATATTTTTCTATGTTTGACTTACTGCAAAACACCTTATGGTGCTATTAGGATTTATAGACATTTTTAAGTGCAACAATAATGCAAGTTTCTAGCACTTTCCCTTAGAAATGTGATCATGGAGGTCAAATGAAGAATGAGAATTGTATCATTGAGAAATCTGTTTTTTAGGTAACACTAAAGTTTTCTAACTTTTCTGTAGAAAGATGTGTATTTTCTTAATGCACCTTTGGGCTACAATTAAAAACCTAATCTTAAACCCAAGTTACATATTCCAAGTATAATCACAAAATCTAGAGTCAGTTTCAGTAATAACAACAGAAAAATCCTTAAAATATCTTTATACTGCATGTCTGAAGTAGTATGTTTCCTGTACTCTGGATACTTACATGGATATTAAGAAATATCTTTGAGCCATTCAATTAAGGGGAAAGGAGAGAGGAAAAAGTAAAGAAAAAGCATGACTTACCAAAGATATTAGATGGCACTATACACATGAATTGAAAGTGCATTTGTATAACTTCAAAAGCTCATTTTAGGCACTATTGAATAACCAATGAAAATAGGTAGTTTCAAGTTTTTCCCTTTAAATTTTAATCCCTGCCCCATCTTTGTCTCAGAAACATACACACACTTTCTTTAAAGTTGTCATGATAAAATACAGGTGGTTACGTTTATCTATTTATATATAAAAAAATTCTCCCTGACTGACAATGGGAGGGAAAAATACCATTTTGGTAATGGCTTCCAAGTTAAAGGAACTGGTTCTATAAATGCCTCAGCATATCATTAAGTTTGATTGCCAGCTCCAAATAGCAATAAATATTTTAAAACAGGATATGTAAGAAAAAAGTGCTTAAAATCTTTCAGTGACCAACAAAATTAATTAGAGAAAAGAATCATTTTACAGTTCCTTTGAGATATTTCTTACTCCTGGTTTCCCTGTAGGAGGTGGCCACCACTTGACTAGCCCTTTACTGGTGGTAGTGAATGAACCCTGCAGATGCCTATTGCCATCTTTTTCTCTGGTCTGGATATTATCCAGTAGGTGGTGCTGAAGTTCCACACATGGAAACAAATGATCCAGATTATCATTTGAAAACTATCAGTTCCAAACAAAACAAACTCATCAGGCCAAATTCTTTCTTATCATGCCACTTAGATGATCTCATTTTTAGTGTTTACTTTAACAGTTTTGTGAGCCATTTGCTTATACAATCAGATAAAAAAGTTTTAGAAGAAATGCCAAATCTGTATAGAGAATGGAAACAGTTTCTGAATGTACCTATACACATTTGAGAATCAGAGATTTAAACTATCCATTTGGTTGCACATAGGAATTCTCAACTACTCCAAAGAGAAAATTTCCACATAGGGATACAGATACACTACATTATCAGTTTTTGTTTCCTAGACTGATTTGGAAACTGAGTATGTTAGTTATAAAGATCCAAGGTGAAATAAGAACCAATTTCATCACCATAGTTTTTAATGAAGAAACTTGTTTAAAACTGTAAAGGAAAAAATGGGGATGGGACGGCAAAATCTTAGCAGCAAAGTGGTTAAACAAATTGAAAATATTAATGCACAAACATTAAAATATTAAAGCATATATGTTGCATATAAAATACAGTACAGAACCAGGAGTTGCACTATACTGATTAGTGCTTAACAGAAGAAATGATTAAATTTGTTCTTCCCAGAAGTATATACACAGTTCATTTCCACAGCATTTTCCTATATAGCCAGCAAGTTATTTTCTTCAGTCATTCACACCTCGCTCAAACCTGAATTAAAAACTCAGTACTTACAAATATGAAAATTCATTCAAAAAGAGAACCAGTATTTCCATTTCATCCATAAAAAGGAATTTTGAAAGTTAACAGTCTATTCTAGGAAACCAAGTTTAGCTGAAAACTTCAGGGATGAAGATCACCAGGTGTAGCAGCATTCAAATATATAAACAGTAAAAATAAGACTTAAAACTGCTGCTACAAGGTCATGTTTTGGATTTAGTTCATCCAATTGATTTTTAGTACAAAACTAGAAATAACCTCTTCTTCATAACATCTACAGTTAACAATATAATTTTCTTCTTTTCAATGTGAAATAATACTTCAAGATGATCTATGTACACAATGTTGTCAGTTCAAGCTGTCATATAAATATAAATGCTTTCTTTTTTTAAAAAAAAAGTATTTTACAGACAAGATAGTGTTATATACATTGTTCAGTTTGATAGGGGGCAAAAGAAGAATGCTAACACAAGCTTAAGTTTGATATGTAAAACAAATGAGATATAAATGACATTTAAAACCTGCATAGAAAATGAGCTTCAAATGGTAGTGTGATTTTAATTTCTATCACCTCTAGTACTTCGAGCCATTAATTTAAAAAAAAAAAAAAAGGCACACGTCTCAACTTTATTCCTGGAAGGGAATGTTCTTAAAGAATTCCTCATTTGGTTAGTTTTGATGTTTTTTTTTTAAAAAAAAAAAAAAAAAAAAAAAGTGACCCCATGGTATTTTAAAATGGTATGTTGGAACACATATCCTACTACTTTGTAAATTAAACAGCAGTAATACAATGCTCTGCAAAAGAAATAAAATTTATATCTACAAGATATTTCATTCACAATGATGTTGGATTAAATGCTTTCCTGGGATACGTTAGCATACATTTTAACAAAATAATTTCGTTTTCGGCCAGTTTAAATAAAAAAAATATAGCTGAGAAAGATCGGTGTTATATGAATAGTAAGTACTGAGGAGTAAGCTAAAACATTAGTAATGCAGCTGAACATATTTCGGTGTAGCAGAACAATAAATGGAGATTTCAAGAGGAAACTGTTTTATACCAACTATGCATTTACACTTTTTGCCTTGTAAAACGTTTGTTTTTGCAATATTATTTTTTGAAGGAGGAAACTCTGAAAGAAAACAACTTGCTGGTTGAATACCACAAAAAACAAAACAAAACAACCAAAACCCTTAAATTTTCTGTTTACTCAGTCTCTTTTTATATAAAAATAAGGGTTAAGTTCCCATCAGAACATTAGACAATTACATCTGTGCTTTAAAAAAATGTTGGTCACACAAGGCTATTAGAATATCTTAAAGGTTTTTAGATTACCAGAATGTACAGATATAACTCAATATAAACTGTAGCCAAAGATAATCAAGGATGAAAATATCAGATCATTCACATGGAATAAAAATGTTATTAACTAGATGAGTTAAATATTCAAAATATATGGAATGTGACAGTAGATAAATGTGTATCTACTTCAGAATTAGGAAGGGCAAGAAAGGTTTAATATGTAATAATTCGTACCTTACATTTAGTTAAATATAAACATTTTGTTATTTATACATAAAACTGCTTTCAGAAAAACAACTAATAAATGATTTAGTTGCACTTATTTTACTTCTTATAATTCCCAAGTGTTAACTTTTCTTAGATTGAAATCAACTGTCCCCTAGTGCATTTTTATTTTTAGTTCATGAATTCAAACCTTTAAATTCCCATCACCTAATGCATAAATATACAAAAATGCCAAAAATTAATCCCTTTTTGTTGGATCATATTTATGCTGACTTTTTATAGTCAATAGCCAAAAATGATTTCCTTCTGCAAATACTCTACAACCTGTAACGAAACATGCCATGCACTCAAGGAAAAAAATGCATGGCTAGCATCTGTGAAATGCCTGACTGACGAGTTCTGCTTCTTCCACGTGTGGCCCCAGTGATACCAGGCAAGATTCCATATTGCTTGCCAAAAGCTTCCACAAAACCAAGTTAGCTAATTCCTGGAAACAAAGATTTTAAGCTCCTTTTGGCACTGGATCATTTCATCCAGCAGCTTTATGTTTCCCACCACAGCACCCACATGCCTCACCACAGCGATGGCACATTCTCAAAGGGACGTAGCAGCACATACATGGTACAATAAAAGACAAAGCTACCAGGGCTAACCATCGTAAGCAGAACTTGTCATCACTAGTGTCACATGAACAGGGATCAGAAAAATCTCCCTCTGAGTCTGACATACAATGATACAACATGCTCTCTGCACAGAGCATACAACTAACTTGATATATGCATCTTTTAATAGGATCTGGAGCATCCTGACATTTTCCCCTGCCATTTTCTTCATGATTAAACCTTTCCTGGCAGTATACGCAGCGAGAACGTTCACCATCCTCTTTTCTTCGTTTTGACTTCTTAATTTTTAATGAGGAAGAAGGCTGTGTCTTAAATACCACAGAGTCTTTGAGTGAACTTAACTTAGTCTCATCCCCACAAGAGTAGAGATAGTCTGACTTTTTACTGTCCGGTTTAGGAAAGTGAATATTGGAGTCATTATCATCTCTCTCCAAGTCATTTTTCCACATGTCAGGATGTCTGTAGTCTGCATACCGACGTATTAAGATATCTCGAGGGTTTATTCTGACAATCTCATCCTCATCTTGAAAGCTGACATGTCTGATTGATTTCAAAGGGACCTAAAAAATGAAAAATACAGTAAGGACTACAGCAGTTAATTTTAGGTATCAATTTGATGGAGTGACACTGCCCAGGTATTTGTTCAAATATTGTTCTAGGTGTTTCAGTGATTTTTTGGGGGGTAAGAACAATATTTTCATTGATGGACTGTGAGCTAAGCACAGTACCTTCTATGATGTGGGTGGACCTCATCTAATCAGCTGAAGGCTTTAATAGAACAAATATTCCTTTCCCCAGACAAGAAAAACTCTGCCAGCAGGCTGCCTTTGGAATCAGATTGCAACTCTTCCTTGGGTCTTCAGCCTGACATAGTTTACCCTGAAAATTTGAGATCTGTATTTCCATGGTGGCATGAACCAATTCATTAAAACTAAATCCTACTCAATCTGTTTCTCTGGAGAACCTTCTTACAGACTTTCATGCCAAGAAATGACATGCCACTATAATAAATATCTTGAAAATGTGGAAATGGTTTTGGAACTGAGTAATGGGTAGAAGCTGACAAAATTTTTTTTTCTTTTTTTTAAAAAATATTTTTTAAAGAGAGAGAGAGAGAGAGAGAGAGAGAGAGAGAGAGAGAGAGAGAGAGAGAGAGGGGGGGGGGGGAGAGAGAATTTTAATATTTATTTTTTAGTTTTTCGGCAGACACAACATCTTTGTTTGTACGTGATGCTGAGGATTGAACCTGGGCCGCACGCATGCCAGGCGAGCGCGCTACCGCTTGAGCCACATCCCCAGCCCCAGAAGCTGACAAAATTTTAAGATGGACGTTAGAAAGAGCCTTGAAGAGACAACTGGTAGAAACATGGATTTAAAGGTCCATCTGGTAGGGTTTAAGATGGAACTGAACACATTACTGGACATTGGAAGAAAGGCAATCCTTGGTATAAAATAACAAAGAACCTGGATAAATTGTGTTTTAGTATTTTTTGGAAGGTAGGAGAGATATACATGAACATTCAGCAGAGGAACTTTCTAAGCAAGGTGTGTTCTAAAGAGAATACTAAGGGTGTGGCTGGATGATCATAGGATAAAGCAAGATGTTGCCAATTTGGATGTAAAGGGACAGAAGCAAGATGAAACAAAGAATGGCTGCAGGACTTGTGGGATTCTACAGAATGTGCCAAGAGTTATGTGGCTGTGAACAAGTGTCATGTTCATGACATGTCATGTCTCAAAAGAGAAGGAGGATCCTGAAGTAGGACTGTCCCCTCTGAGTTCCAGAGGATGAAGCTAACTTCTGAGTTTTAGTGGGCCATGCAGTAGCAGTGCAAGGCCGTGGAGGGGAAGTTTATACCCAGGGCTGGGTGTAGGATCACCATCCCAGTGGGCCTACAGGACAGAGCATAAAGCTAAGGAGAATTAATCTCAAGTCTTAAAACCTAATGAAATTTCCCATCAGGTTTAGACTTGCTTAGGACTCATATGACGATTTTCTTCATTTCAGTTTCTCTCATTTTGAATGGGAATGTCTACCCTATGCCTTTCCTATCACACTATACTTTAGAAGCAATAACTTGTCTAGTGTCACACGATGACAGGTGGCAGGGAAATCTGTCTCAAAATGAATCATACCTCAACACATCCACAACTGGCAGAGATGCTATTTAGAAGAAATTTGGCAATTAGAGTAGATACTGGAATCTGTTAAGACTGTGGGGCCACCGAAATAAAGGCATGTGTATTTTGTATATAAGAAGGCATGAACTTTGGAGCCAGTGGGAAGAATATTATGGGCTGAATCATATCCTTCCCCAATTCATATGTGAGGCCTTAACATCAGAATATGATATTTGGAGACAGGGCTTTTAAAGAGGTGACGAGAGAGAGAGAGAGAGAGAGAGAGAGAGAGAGAGAGAAAGAGATATAGATATTGAGATTCCTTAAAATAAGGAATCAGGGTAGACATTAACCAGTCTTACTGGTGGCCTTGTAAGAGGAAATCTGGACACACAGAGAGATATAGTAGGGAAGCATGTATAGAAGAAAAACCACATGAGATGTTAGCCATCAATAAGTTAAAGAAAAAGGGCTTAGAAGAAACTAAACATACCATCCCCTTGACCTTGATCTTGAAATTCAGCCTCAAAAACTGTGAGAAAATAAAACTACTATTTTAGCCACTCTGTCTGTGGTATTTCACCCTGGCAGCCCCCTCAAACTAATATAAGAATATACATAGCTTAGCCATACAGAAAAATCCCTAAAAAATGACTTACACACCAACCCCATCTCTCTTTCTCTCATTTGTCTTCTCTTTGTATCTAACTCATGGGTAGATGACTTTTTGGGGTTGGGGAACAAAACTGTCTTTTGACCCTACCTACCACCCACAAAGGAGATGGTTTTCTAGTAGTCAAATCTGTATTACCTAGTTCTAGTTCCAGGATACAAGGACTAGTGTACAAACAAGTGTCTAATCCAGTTTGGGGCAATCTTTTATTCTACAGATATTTGAAACTGGGATTAAATTACAAGTCTGGGCTAAGGGTGGGCTGATGGGTGAAGTCCATTAAATTAACACTATATTATTCTTATTGGTCCTATTCGATATACATATAAATTCAAAAGAAAAATTTTGGATGGAGTTTAAATAACAGAGTTTGTAAGTAAATATGAAGCAAATTTATACATTGAAATTATTTCAACTATATAGAGAATTCAAATGACTAGAAAACTTCACGTATATGCTAATTGCCTATATTTCATTGCAGAAGATATTACTTACCCTGTTTTGGGACTTTAAGCTTCCACATTCCTTGGGTATTTGCCGCTGTACATATTCCACACTTCTGCTCTGAATGTCTAGGCCTGGCTGCCCAAATGTTATCTAAAATACAAACAGTGTCTTATGTAAGTGATGACAGAATGAATTTCTTGCTCTTAATGAAGCCATACACAGTGCACATTTTCAAAATGGTTTTATAAAAGGTATTGTAATTCCCCTCACCTTAATTTTTTTTAAAAAAGCTATTTTCCTATACATTTTAAAATGTATGCATTACATTCACCAACTAACAAGTACTCAAAAAAGTAGAAATCACCCAAATATATCTATCAACTGATGAATGTATAAACAAAATGTGGCAATCCATATAGTGGAATATTCCTCAGCTAAAAAAGGAATAAAATATTGATATTATGTTATAATAGTGATTGATAAGGACTGAAGGAAAAGATGGAGTGGCAATGACTGCTAATTGGTACGAAATTTTGGAGGGGGATGAAAATTTCCTGGAATTCAATGATGGTGATGGTGGCACAGTCTTATGAATTTACTAAAAACCAACAAATTGTATATTTAAAAGGATGACTTAATGATATATGAATTTTATATATATATATATATATAAAAGTGATAGGGACATTTCTTAGTTGTTTGAATTGCAAAGCCCATTTTGGAGCTAGATTTTTTTTTTAATATAACAGTGGAATGCATTACAATTTTTATTATACATATAAAGCATAATTTTTCATATCTCTGGTTGTATACAAAGTATATTCACACCAATTCATGTCTTCATACATGTACTTTGGATAATAATGATCATCACATTCTACCATCATTTCTAACCCCATGCCCCCTCCCTTCCCCTCTAACCACCCCTCTGTCCTATCTAGAGTTTGTCTATTCCTCCCTTGCTCCCTTATCCCACTGTGAATCAGCCTCCTTATATCAAAGAAAACATTCGGCATTTGGGTTTTTGGGATTAGAGCCAGATTTTATAGCTGAAAGTTACCAAAGCTTAATTTTTAGAATTTTATAATGAAAAATTATTATAAATGAATTTCCACATCTACCACCTAGCTTCAACAATTATCAATACTGCAGTAATCTTATTTTCTTATTGATTATTTTCCTGGATTATTTTGATCCAAATCCTACTATTAATAAGACTATAACTTTGAAAATAAAAAATAATACAAGTAACATGGCAAATTTTTCAAACAGTATTGAAGTACATACAATAAAAATCTTCCATATTAGATGTTTGGTCCCCATCCTAGAAGTTAACTTATAAAAAACAATTTTTAGTGAATTCTTCCAAAAATTTACACACACAAACATGTACATCTTTAAAAGTTTTAAATACAAATGGAATGCTTTTCTTGATTTTTCTTACAGTTAGTGATACATTACAGATACTTTTGTATACTTATAGGTAAAACATATAAGGATTCAGGAATTAATGGAAAAAATTCACCATGGATTAAATAGTGTAGAAAGGCTTCATGAAGGAAACTGGGCTTGAAGTAAACACAGAATGAGTTAAGTATTTGGTCAAGTACAACTACCACCACCACCACCAAAAAGAAACAATTTTTTTCCTGATAAAAGTTAATAACTTCAACTTATATATTAAATACACATTCCTATACTTTAAGAAGCAAGGATGTCTACTTTTTCACTTATCACCTAAATTTTACTATCTCAGAAAAAAGTCACATGTACTACTTAAACAGATTTAACTGTGAAATCTACCTGAGTCAACAGTTTATAATTATTAGGCCTCCCACATGATCCGTAAGTGAAAAGACAAATGGATGTTGTCTATACACTTATTAAACACAGATGTTGTAAGATACACCCAACTAACTATTGCTTTTTAAAGCACTGAGAACCAAAACTATTTTATAGTCTTCAGAAGAATTTATCAGCTGAGATATACACAGGAGGTGCTTCTTCAAAGTTGGTCACAACAAAAAAAAAATTTAAAGAATTCCATTTAAAATGACAACAAAATGATATGAAAGAAAAGATTATAAAAGATAACAGATTTTTTAATATAGGAAAATCCTCATAAAGAAAATGCAAAGTTTTATTAAGAGAGAACTAGGGTTGGGTTTGTGGCTCAGTGGTATAGTGCTTTCCTGACATTTGTGAGGCCCTGAGTTCAATCCTCAGCACTGTAAATAAACAAATAAATGATCCATTGACAATTAAAAAATATTTTTAAAAAAGAGAGAGAACTAAATAGAGGGATATATCATACTCATGGATAAAACTGTAGCTTCCCTTAAGCTAATACACAAATTCAGTGTAATTTGAACATAAACCACAAAAATATTTTTCATCAAACTTGACAAACTGATTCTAAATTTTATGAAAGGTCAAGAAGTCAAATAAAGACCTCAAAGGAAAAACAAAGTAAGAGCATTTGCTGTACATATATATTAAGACTTATTATAGAACTACAGCAATTGCATAGTAAAGACTTAATGCAATGACAGACAGGAGACCAACCAATCAGTTTAGAGAGACAAGAAACAGATCCAAACATACATGGAGACTTGATACATGACAAATATGACATTGTTAATCAACAAGTAGTTACAGAGAGGACTGGATCCCTAGCATAAAAAAAATCAGTTCAAATTAGATTAAAAGACAAAGCTTAAACTTGAATGTCTGCTCACTAAAATACTGAACATAAGAGTAAAATTAACAATCACTAACTAGGAGATGCTAGCCACAAATAAAACTTAAGAAGGATTTGTAGTCAAAATACACAAGAAGTTGATAATGAAAATTTTATTACTCGGCAATCAGGTTAGAGTAGGTATTTAAAGCTGATTTGTAAGAAACAACCACTGTTTCCACTATCCCCTGTATACATGGCACAAATCAATTATTTCCGTTTTTTAAAAAATAATACATCATCAAAAGCTCACTTCCATACATCCTGAAGAAATTTCATGCACATAGACAAGAAGTTTGTACCTGCACTATGCCTAATAACAACAAAAACCTAGAAAGAGCGGGTTTATCCTCTGGCAGAAAAAACTATGTAAGTGGTGGAAATCATGAGAAAACTCAGGATTATCTTTTCAGGGATATGCATATAGTGAGACCGTTGGAATATAGTGTTCTCCCTATGAAGACAGTCTTGTTCAGTGATTAAAAAAAAAAAAAAAGATAAATCAGGCAGTCAGACAGTCTTATTGCCCATTAGAAATAAAATTCAAGGTAATGGTAACCTTCAGAATGAAGGAAAGGGAATAAATTGGAGATCTTCCTTTACAAGTTTTTTGATGGTTTCTTAGGTATTAAATGTGATATAAATCTTTCATTATGAGCTTACTCAAACACACTCTTATTTGTCTATAATAAAATGATCCTCAAAAACTTGAAAGTAAGAAAAGTAATGGCTTTCAGCCCTATTCTTTGCAACTAAAACCTGCCTCTGTTACCATTTTGAATCAATTTATTTATCCAAAGGATTTAACAGTCCACAATGTATACAAAATAATCGAAGACAAAACATTGACAATGTTACTGTTTTACTAACATTACAAGAAGGAAAAACCTAAGCTAGCATTAGGTAACAATTCACCACAGGTTTCATTTCTGTAAATCTACTTACTGCACATAGGCATTGTCTGCCTTTGTTTTAGTTTATCTTTTCAAGGACATGCATATAGTGAAACCTTTGGAAGACAGTATTCCCCTATGAAGACAGGCTTGTTCAGTGATCAAAAAACCAGACAGTATCTCCTTCCACAAGGTAAATCAGGCAGTCTTATTGCCTATTAGAAAAGACTTGACTGTGAAAACATCTTCCTGAGCATCACTCTCATGGATCTTGGTGGTGGTGGTGGTGGGAAGGGTGGGGGGACCAACACAAACATGAATATCATGCTATTATATATTGTGCTATAAGTAATAAAATCCTTTGTTTCTGACCCAAGGTAAAATGTTAAGACTCTTTATAGTTCAGCAAAGCCATAGTCTAGTTCTTTTGACAAGGCTGTTCCTCTTTTTCAGAAAAGGACTCATCAAACTATCCCCAAAGTACAACTAAATATTCAAGGCATATTAATTAACTCTGTTGAGCATTCATACCCACCAAACTAGCTTTCAGAGATGATCTGGTACGTCATGAATATCTATTTTATGTAGAGAATGTACAAACTTGTGTTCACTAGTACCTACAGTACTAGTGGTTTAAATTTTACATTCTGAGTTTTGCATATCATTTTCTTAAGCTCAATTATTTAAATCTTTGAAAGATGACTTTAGTCTTGGAAAAAAATGAAGCTTCTGACCAGCAAGCTGAGGGCCAGATTCTGTACAATGGAAATTCATTTTTCATGTCTTTTGGGTCACATGCAAATGGATGACTGGTATAAAATCCCAACAGTATTTGCTGAATATAAGTGTGCTTTAGTCCTGTTAAGAAATTTCTACACTATTTATTTCCAAGTCCATCACCACGAACAGTGATGGCCCAGCTGGTTTGCTCCCAGTGCAAGAAAGTCATAGAAAGGTTTGGGGAACAGTAAAATAGTTTAATGTAAGAAACAAATATGGTTTCATTAACAGAATTGATACTAAGCAAGATATAGTTATACAATCAGTCTGCCATGAAGAATACCCCAGGAACTTTCTTCATAGTTCAGGAGATATTGAGTCTGTGGAGTCTGACTTTGTCATAGAAGAAAAGGGAGTAGAGACAGCAAATGTTCCAAGATCTGGTGGAGTTCCAGGTGAAGGCAGTAACATGCAGCAGACTATAATCACTATAGTCACTATCCATGTAGTTGGAGTCTTCCATACAATTACCAGTTGAATTACAAGAAGAGTAAGAGTGGGCAATAAGAGAGACTAGAAAATGCTCTTGAGTCAGGCCTGACAATACCAGCCACACCAAACACAAAGGTTTCCACCATACTACACACAGAGACCCTATGGATCTCCTTGTGCAGGGAGAGGTAAAGGATGACAACAACCACCAGTGAGACAGAATATGTATCGAGGTTATAAACTATGATTACATAGTGCCTTTCTGCACCAATGAAAAGGATGATAATGAAGAGGGTAAGGTAAATCAAGGTGAGACCCCAGGTCAGCAGCCACCTCAATGATGGCATCACTGCAACTTCAATTACCAATACAAACACCCAGAAAAATCTTAAACCACAAGTGGCAGAGACAAAAGCAACTGATCCCAGCCTTGGGATTAGAATTCATTTATTCCCGGGACTAAGTAGGGCAGGACATAGTAAATGCCAGTTTACCACTGCTACCATCATCTGGTGATCCAACAAGAAGAAATGAATATGAAATTCCAGAAAATGGAAGAACAAAAACCCTGAAGTTCAAGACATTAAGCATTTCATTTTTGCCAACCGACCATATAACTAGAACTATCTGCATTTACTAAAGATCTCTCTTTTTGGTAATGGAAAACATGTTTCAAAAAGCCCAGAGAGGTGTATTGAGCTGAGACAGTAGGATCACTGGAGCCCAGAAGTTCAAGACTGACCTAGGCAACATGACAAGAACTTGTCTCAAAACAAAAAAAGGTATACATGGAGTTCTTTGTGTTTGTTTTTATTTTTTGGCACCAGGGATTGAACCAGGGGCACTTGAACCCTGAGCCACATCCCTGACTCAACCCTTTTTGTGTTTTATTTTGAGACAGGGTTTTGCTAAGTTGCTGAGGCTAGCTTTGAACTCGCAATCCTCCTACCTTAGGTTCCCAAACAGCAGGGATTATAGGCATGTGACACTGTGCCAAAATATGGAGTTTTGATTGTGTAGGGGCCACTGCCTCACCCTTTGTTATTCACAGGGTCGATTGTACATCTTTTCAATATCATCTATCAAGAAGAACAGATATTTTAAAATATTTTTAAAAGCACATGTAGGGGCTGGGGCTGTAGCTCAGTGGCAGAGCTTGCCTTGGATATGGGAGGCACTGGGTTCGATCCTCAGCACCACATGAAAAAAATACAAAAATAAAATAAAGGCATGCTGTTCATCTACAACCACAAAAAAAAATTAAAACAACAACAACAACAACAAAAAACAACATATGTGACCTTTGATTTTGTACACAGATATCAGGTATAACTTAAAACCCATGAGTTCACGTAAGGTAACAGTTTCAAATGCTTATTTAACAATAACAAAAATATTTGTTTATCTCATTAAGAGAATTGAAGATATTCTGATAGATTTGATATCACCTGTGAATAGCAAAAAATAGGATTATGTTCCACAACTGAGGCTTCACTTTTAGATCTAATGGTTGTCTAAAATCGGATTGTACATGTAATGCCCAGTGAAAATGCTTTCATTGAACTGATTTAGAAATACATTAGCAGTTTTTGAGGTAAGCTATAAGAAGCAACCTTATGAAATGTGTCAGTGTATTTGCCACATGTGTATTTACCAATGACATTTTTTTTTTAAATAGTATGTCTGATAAGTTTCTTATAGAGAAACTTGCTTCTCAAAAGACTAGGGTGCTTTTTCCTTCTGGATAATGAAAATTTCTCTGAACACTTTTCCCATTTTTACCTTTGCCACCAAAACATTTAAAATTTATTGCTTCATTTACTACATACTGACATAGGATTATATGATCTACGTTTGCTGTCACACTCTGGATTTGATTCACTGTAAATCATATTCCTGGTTTTCTTGCCTTTTTGTTTATTTTAACTGGTAAAGAAAGATGGTCTTAAGATCCTTCTCTAAAACATATCATTTCTACACATATGTTATACATGCTGAAAAATATTTATTTTCTCACCTGATTGGCTTGGCTTTGCAGGTAGACTCTTCTGGCATTCAAATCTTCAAAGGGAGATGGTCTTATATTTGAGCCCCTGTAAGGGTCACTGGTAACAACTGTCTCTTGCTGGAAAAGGTGATCTTTCACTAGAGAACTGGAAGTATCCTCTTCAGTTGCCTAATGGGAACAACCCTCAACTCATTAGTTGTCAGAGCAAAAAAAGATCTAACAAAAGAAGATCCTTTAAAAGATACTTTAATTACAACAAGTATTTTGCAAATTATTAAGTATATACCACCCTCACTGCTATAAATGGCAATTCCAAAAGTTCCAAGGTACATGATTAGGGAGCCATGTTAAAATAAATAAGAAATAGAAAAAAAAAAACAATAAATCAACTTTCTGAGCAAAATAAGCTTTCTTATTGAAAACAACTTAGGAAGAATTGAAGGTAACCATGTAGAAGAGCCATCTAATTAGAAGAAAGCCTTTAGTTATAGTAATAATGATCTGAATCTAAAAAACCAAAGAAATTATTATAAAATACTATTCAATTAAGAGTCTTATTTTGCAAGTTAAAAATAAAAAGTATGCAGTTAGGTAGCAAGAACTGGAGAAAAAGAAGGAAGATGGTAGTAGTCCATATCTTTTTGAATCAATCCATTAGTCTGAATTTGCTGCTTACTTAGAAGGGTTGAAATCAGCACAAGAGATTTAGGTGGAGGAATATGATTAGACAAGACAAGCACTAAAAACATGCTTTCAAATGGTCATGAACAATACAGTCTATGAAATAAATACATGTTAAATGGGAAATTTAATACACTACAAACCAGAAAGTCCTAGAAGGGTTTTATTTTAATTCATTTAGTTTTTTAAAGAAAGCGGGGTGAGGGGGGTGGGTGGTGGGGTAACTGCTATAATTTTCTCCACTGCTGTATAATTATTTGAGAGAAAACAGCAATAGACAAGTAAAAAAGGCTGAAATATATTTACAGACTCATTCTAAAATAATTCAGAACATATGGCTAACAAATTTAAAGGTTCATACCTTTATAAACTTTTCTTTTTATAATTAAGAAAGGGTTTAAAATTTTTTTGTTGGTGTTACTTCTAAAATTAACCAATTCATAAAATGACTGGGATATTTTATTTTTTTTATTTAATTACCACCTTTTGCGGTGTGAGATTTAAATTCAGGGCCTCAAAATGCTAGGCAAGTGCTCTACCACTGAGCTATAAAGATATAATTATTATATTACTATTATTATAAAGATATAATTCTTGTTATTAATTATATCTTTTTTTCACCAAACTAAAAATTTAGATTAAATTGACAATGCTAAAAATAGCCCCCAGGAGATTTTAAACTTATAAATACAAGTTCTTGCTCTAGAACAAAACAGCTTTGTGCCATTTAATTTCTTTGGCACACAATTTTCTCAATTACAAAATATTTATAATTCCTACCCTAATTCATGGCATTGTGCTGTCATAAGACCTAGTGAGATAATAAAAGTGAAAATGCTCTTAAAAGCTGTTACTGTATCAGGAAATAAGCAACTAAATTTCAAACAATATATTAAAGATTTACTCTCACTTAAAACTAAATATGTTAAAACCAGTTAATCACTATTTTTACCTTATTTTCATATCAGATGCCCCAATATGTTGAGACAGTTAATGCTAAATTATTGAAAAGGAATTGGCTAAACACTTGTATCCATTCTTTCAAAATGTATAATCAATTTGGGGAAAAGAAAATAATTCAAGAAATATACTTTCTATTCTAGAGATTTCTGAAAATACATGAGTCAATTGTCAGAAATCATGAACAAAATGAATAGAAGAAAACACTGAAAAAACACAAAGTCTAAGAGAAAAGGTCAAAAAATTCTGCCTCATCCAATTAAGATACAGAACTTAAACAGCTAACTTCTCTGAATCACGATTTCTTTTCATTATAAATTTGGTATCTATATCAGGGTAACAGGAACACTTGAGATTAGGGAACCACAAACAAGTACGAATTGTGACAGTAGCATCAATGATAATCATGAAGTAAGCCTGCCTAAAAGAGTGACAGTTTTCATTAGGGTGTCTTTTATTGAATTATAGCCTAAGAAGTCATTTAAGAATTGTAAATTAAAATAAACAGAACAAACATAAAAAGGTCAAATAACCATCCTATTTTACTGTAATAACTCAGGCTATTCTAGTTATATATACACAGATTTTATTTAAATATATTTATTTTAAAAGGGAACTATTCAAAGTTTTCATTGAATTGAGAGAATCAAATTAACATTTTAGAGAATTCTCAATTAGCGAAATGGATTTTCTTGTTATTAATTATCTTTTTTTCACCAAACTAAAAATTTAGATTAAATTGACAATGCTAAAAATAGTGATAAGGAAAATAGGCATGAGAATTGTTAATTCTATACACACAGAAGTCAAATCTGTAACAACTATTTCTAAAAAGCTATTTTAAATAAATGTATCAGCTTTTAAAACATTTATATCATTTTAGCCATTTAAGAAATTACAAAGCATAGACATTTCAGAACTCATTTTATATTTTATAGTATTTATGAATTCCTATTAAGGTATTTTTATTTGGATTTTCTCAATATACTACAAATACATTCCAAAACAAAATTCCTGTGCTCAAATATTAGACTATGCCTTAAGAACAAAATATTTATGAACAGAATTTCAAACAACCAAAATTACAAATGCTTACTATTTCTTAAAACTAAAAAAGAAAAATATCTTGCATTAAAAATAAAAAGCTTTTAGGTATAAAGCATTTTATCTAAGGATTATTTAAATCAATCTACATGAAAAAAAACAAGCTACTTGTGCTATAATTAGGGAATGGTTAAGAAAATTATGGTATACCCACTGTAATGATATAATGAAATGAATGTGTATATTTGTGACTCAACTTTAAAAAGTAAATATAATCAACACAACTAAATAACACTCTTGGATTTTTCCATGTAAACCTTCTTCCTTTCTATCACTTAGAGCTTCAGTAGTTAAATTGATTGATTGAACTCACCAGCAATTGGCCACTGAACATATCCCCAGCCCCATTTTGTATTTTACTTAAAGACAGGGTTTCACTGAGTTGCGTAGCATCTCACTTTTGCTGAAACTGGCTTTTAACTTGAAATCCTCCTGCCTCCACCTCCCAAGCTGCTGGGATTACAGGTGTGCAACACCACACCCAGATCAAACATCTTTCTTAATTTGGGGATATAATTGAGTAAAAAGTGTTCAAGCTTTAAGAAATTTCTGTTTTTGCTCAACTGTAATCCCTGAAAAGTAATAGCTACAAGGGAAACCTGGATATAACAAATGGCTAGGGATGTACCTCCGTAGCCTACAATGCACAAGACCCTGGGTTTAATAACCAGCACTGCAATAAATAAAATAAAATGAACATAAATTAGGTGAGAAATGCCAAAATTCTTCCATAAGAGCAAAAAGTTTAGTATATGATATCACAAAGACTTAACTCACTCAGTCTCCAGCTTTTAAAAAAATCATGTATGGCAGTTATATACACCCAAATCCAATGCATTTAATATTGTGTACTGGCATAAGCTCATCTGTATTATACATAAAGTAACCCAGGCCAATGTTTAATGCACAAGGGAAATATGTTTTACTCTTAGCTGGTATAATAATTAGTCTCTTATGCTTGCTAAGAGGTTGTTTCATTTTTTATTTTTCCCAAGACCACTACAGTAATTTTGTGTGTTAAAAAAAAGGTACAGCAATAAAATAATACCAGATCTCTTAAATCATAATAGAAAACCTGTATAGAAAATAAAGACTCTGCTTCTCTCATTTTTTTGTCCCTTCTTCTACTGTTAATTCTGAGACAGAGGAAAGTAACAAATGATTTCCAATAAATAAGTGTTGAAAAATATCATAGTCTACATTTGCTTAGAACTTCATTCTTATAGTTGTATATCATAAGTCACAAGATTAAAAAATGTGTGACTACATCATATCCAACAAGAAGTTTTAATAATTATGCTGTTGGTATTTTAGTAATTATACAATTGATATTTAAAATTATGTGCTAAAATTAAACCAGTTATATGTATGTGCTTAAAGGCACAGAGCAGAAGAAACTCCTCATAATTCTACAAGCCCAACTAAATCATTATTAACATTTTGATGTAGTATTTCCAGTATCAATTCATTTTCATTTTGGCCACAACCAACACCTATTCTGTTCACTAGATTTCTTTAGTAATTTTTAAGGATAATAAACAAATCCCTTAGTTTTTAGTTTTGTATTTGTCTATGAGCTTTGTCTAGAAACATTAATAGTATATGGTATTTTCTTTAAACACCCTGAACACAACAGTAATCTGTGATGAATTAAATGGAAAGAACATTAAAAAATGTGTTAAGACACAATGTCTGGCAATAATAGCGAAGAAAAACAAGTCTGCTGTCCTGGTTTATATAAGAACTAAACCTTTCTATTGAAATGTTAGTTTACTCTAAACATGATAATAAGTTTGTAGAAATTGTTTACCATCTGAATCTATTTTTTAGATAATAAGCAACAGCTACTCAGTTCTTGCTAACTATATAAATCTTTATACTACCCTTTCTTTAGCTGGTAAATACATTTCTAGGATTGTACTCCAAGGTCACACTTGAATATGTAAACAAAAATTTACATAAATTTGAGGTAATAAATAAAATTTAATCTAAAAATATCAAGCTTTTAGAAATTAACTGTATGATAGTAAGACTAAAGAATGGTGATAGGTTTTGACTACGGTATCAAACCCATGTAACTAAGTTGCTAAGAATGCTTCTGAACTTGGGATCCTACTGCTTCAGCCTCTGGAGCCACTGGGATTATAGGCATGCACACCGTGCCCAGAAAAACAATCCTAATTTTTAAGACTTTTCTTCAAAAAGACTTTCTTGAGTACCAACTATGTACTGGATCAGTCCTGTCCTAGACACAAGGAATAAAAGATGAGCAAGATAGGATTTTAATTCCAAACAATGAGCCAGCTATGGTGGTGCAAACCTGTAATCCCAGCAACTCAGGAACCTGAGGATGACCATCAAGTTTGAGGCCAGCCTTAGCAATTTAATGAGACCCTCAGCAACCTAGTGAGACCCTATCTCAAAATAAAAATAAAAGGGCCTGGGGATGCAGCTCAATGGTAGAGCATGCCTGGATTCAATCCCCAATATCTATCCCCACACCCCCCAAAAAATCCAAATGATAACCTGTTATGAAACCCTTCACAGAAAAACATGAAGTGGGAAGGTAAGCTTCTTTCTGTTGACTTCATGTTTATAATCTAAATGAACACAATTATTACTCTGGGTTAAAAAAATTAAATAATGGGTCATTCTTTTAAACCATTTTAGTTGTCTTTACAAGTCAATCTGATATAAACACTACCTTAAATCAGTCAACTCATATTGGAAATAACTGTTTACCTATTTAAGATAAATTATGAAACTTAAGATGATATATTCTATTCCTAGTAAAGTGGTTAAATAAATTAGAATACACCATATTCTCCAATATATTTCAAAAGAAGAGTTGTTCTGTTAAAACTTCGGCACATCCTGAAATAAACAGTACAGCACAAAGGTAAATTTAAGCGTTTTCTTTTGCAGTTTTAATTCTGGGCATTGATTCCTAAAACATTTGCTGTGGTTTTAATCATCTTAAGGAAAAGTTAAACTTCCTTTCTGTTCATGCATTAGTCTCAATTGCTGCATTAAAAAATTAGCACAAAATTTAGCAGTTCCAAAATATGTCATCTCAGCTTCCATGAGTCAGAAAGTTGGGAGCAATATAACTAGGTGATTCTGGTTCAGTATTTCTCATTAGGACATCATTAGGAAACAATCAAGAAATCTTAACTAGGGCTAGGATTGTAGTTCATCGGTGGAGCATGTAGCTAGCTTATGTGAGGCACTGGGTTCAATCCTCAGCACCACATATAAATTAATAAAGGTACTGTGTATATCTACAGCAAAAAAAAATTTTTAAAAAATATAACAACAATAAGTGTTGGCGAGAATGTGGGGGAAAAGGCACACTCATACACTGCTGGTGGGACTACAAATTGGTGCAGCCAATATGGAAAGCAGTATGGAGATTCTTTGGAAAACCACCATTTGATCCAGCTATGACCCAATCCTCAGTTTATACCCAAAGGACTTAAAAAACAACATCCTACAGGGACACAGCCATATCAATATTTATTGCAGCACAATTCACAGTAGTTAAATTGTGGAACCAAGCCAGGTGCCCTTCAGTAGATGAATGGATAGGGAAACTTTGGTATATACACACAATGGAACATTACTCAGCATTAAGAGAATAAAATCATGGTAAAAAAAATTTGCAGGTAAATGGATGGAGTTGGAGAATATAACGCTAAGTGAAGCAAGCCAATTCCAAAAAAACAAAGGCCCAATGTTTTCTTTGATATAAGGATGCTGACTCATAATGACAGTGGGGGCGGGGCATGGGAGGAATGGAGAAACTTTAGATAGGGCAAAGGGGAAGGAGGTGAGGGGAGGGAGGGGAGGGAAGAGGGCAAGGGGATGATGGTGGAATAAGTTAGATATCATTACCCTAAGGACATGTATGAAGACATGAATGGTGTGAAAATACTTTGTRTACAATCAGTAACTTGAAAAACTCTGCCCTATATGTGTAATATGAAATGAATTGCATTCTGCCATCCTGTGTAACAAATTAGAATAAATAAATAATTTAATTAAAAAAATATCTTAACTAGATGATTCTAGCTCAGGATTCCTTGAATTCCAAAAGAAAACTCTGTGGGTCTTGTAAATCTTATTTTGACTCACTCCATTAGATAAAAAGCATGATCATAAATTATTCTGAGCTGGGTGTGGTGGCAAATGTCTATAATCCCAGCAACTCAGGAGGCTGAGGCAGGAGGATCTCAAGTTCAGGGCCTGCTCAGCAACTTAGTGAGGTCCTGAGCAACTCAGAGAGACCCCATCTCAAAATAAAAAATAAAAAGGGCCAAGGATGTGGCTTAGTGGTAAAGCACCCCTGGGTTCAATCCCTGGTGCAAAAAATAAATTATTCTGAAACCTATGTTAAACTTCTGCTAAGGGACACATTCTTATTCTTTTTCTAAACCCTATTATCCTAACTGAAATGTTCTCTGAGGCAGCACCTTAGAATTTTCTGAGGTCTTAACAAAGGAACTTTGGATATTTTTGGTATTCAAGAAACACCTTGCCCCTGTAATCCCAGAGGCTTGGGAGGCTGAGGCAGGGGCATCTAGAGTTCAAAACCAGCCTCAGCAATGGCGAGGTACTAACCAACTCAGTGAGACCCTGTCTCTAAATAATATACAAAATAGGGCTGGGGATATGGCTCAGAGGTTAAGTGCCCCTGAGTTCAATCCCTGCCCCCCACAAAAAAAATTCTTAACTAGATGGTTCTGGCTTAGGATTCCTCACCAGGTTTGAGTCAGGACACCAGGCAAGTTATTGTCATTGAAGATCTTGTCTGGAGATGAACAACCGGCTCCCAAGATGACTGACAAATGTAAATGTGGTCACTGTCCCAAGGCTTCAGTTCCTCACCCCATGGACATCTACACAGAGTAGCTTGAATGTCCCCATAACATAGCAAGTGGGCATTCCCTGAAATAGTGGTGTATGAGAAAGACAGAAGCAGCAATAACCTACCCCTGGAGTCATACACTGTCATTTCTACAACATTATCTTTGTTAACAACACAACTCGATAATAGTACACACTCAAGGGGTGGGAGGATTATATTCTACTAAAAAGAAGAATATTAAAAATCTGTGATTCTCCTTTAACACCACCACAGTATTTTAAAAAATAAATTAAAACTTGATACAAAAATGGTTCTTACTGAAATGACATTTAAATGAAAGGCTAGTATCTCTAGGGATAATGCCTATCTTTTATTTTATTATGAAAAAGAAACTAAGCAAGTACTTTAGTGTCTAAGATACAGAGACTCCTTTAGTGGTCTGTGTGTAAATTGTTGGACTGAGGGCACTAGAGATACTAGCGTACTATGAAGCAGGGATCCTATGGAGATAAACAGAATAATTATTCTTACTGCTTTTGCTACACCATAACCCTCTTTATCAGCTTCCCTTTCCTGATTCTAATTTTTTATTACTTTGCATGTCTCTATAATAACCTTCTCCTGGTTCATATCTTTTGCTTTTCTTACTCTGTGGCAAAATCTTGACACACATAATACTATCAGGGAACATGATTTTGAAAATAAATATTTTTTACAAAATTAATTGCTACTTGCATAAAGTCTGACAAACAATTATGTTACAGCATTTATTTCCCCACACAATGTTAATTAAATATAGAAATTATGTGAGACCAAATCAGAAGGATATTAAAATAAAAAAAAAAAACAGGTGTGATGGCACACACTTATAATCCCAGTGACTTAGGAAGCTGAGGCTGGAAGATCACACTCTCAAGGTCAACCAGGGCCACTTAAGGATGGTAGCACATTTATAACTTTCTTTTTTTCTTGACAGGTTCTTGCTATATTGCCCAGGCTGGCCTTAAACTCATGATTATCCTGCTTTAGCCTCCCACCATTCTGGCTTCTTTTTTTTTTTTCCCCTTCCTCTTTAAGTGGTGCTGTATGTCTCAAATTTTCTAAACCAAACATTCATATTTCAGATTTTAAAAGTATTAAAATGAGCAACTGTGTACATAAAACATTTTGCCATGTCTTTATGTCAAAACTATTTTATAAAAATGAGTAGTAATATATCAATATGACATATATGTATGAATTTGGGTATTTTAACTTATAAAAATTTAATACTTTTAGCAGCAAGTACGAAAAACACAGAAGAGCATTAAAAAGAAAGCTAAATTGCTTAGAATTCCACCTTAAAGGTAAACAACAAAAGCATTTTAACATTTTGGCTAAGTAATGAGGAAAACTGATAACAAAATTTTAATAGCCGCATGACAAATATACCTTACTCAACCATTCCCACCATCCTATTATTTAGATAGTGCCTTAACTTTTTTAATCATCAAATATTTAAATACATATACACATGTATAAAAATAAATAAATCCATGTATAAAAATTTTTCTGTATGTTTTCTTCATATACATTGCTACAAACTGATTCCCTAGATAAAGAGACACAAATGTTTCTTTTTTTAAGTTACTCTTCAATTGACACCAGTAACTTATGAGATTTCAAAAGAAATAGATTCTTTTAAAAAATTAGAAATGTCAACATGTGAACAAGTAGAGGTTTTTAAACACATACTAACAAACTGCTTTCTAGAAAAAAATTTACCAATCTGCATTCTCTTCAGTGGGGCATCATGGGGCAGTATCATTTTTTTTTAAAAACTTCAGTCATTTGGCAACTAAAACTGTTAATTTGCTTTAATTTATATTATCTTTTAATTATAAGTTAGTCCAAACACAATGGTATCCATATGCTCTTGAGTAATCTGCAATTCCTCTTCTGTGCATTTTTGTATGTAAGAACCTTGCCCATTTTTTTCTGGGGATGGGGTGTCTATAATATGTGTTAGTTTGTCCAGGCAGGCTCAGTGCCCATATTTTAGTCCAGATGTTGCTATGAAGGTATTTTTTAGATGCGACTAACATTTAAATCAGTAGACATGAAGTCAAGGAGATTTCCCTTAGCGCTGATAGCCTCATTCAAACAGCTGAAAAGGACTGAGATCTGCCTGGAAATCCAAATGAAGATACACCATGCCAATTTCCAGCATGCATGCTTGCCTGCCTGCCCTGTGGATTTCAAACTTTTGAACCACCACATTCCTGTGTACCAACTCCTTAAAGAAATAAAAATAAAAAACTCTCCCCCTACACATACTGGTTCTATTTCTCTGGAAAAAAAAAAAAAACAGACAAATATAGCATCTTTGAATATTTTTAAATAATTTATAGGTTAGTTAGTTACGTCTAGTGATTTCCTCTAGATCTTTTATGTTTAGAAATTCTTTTCAAGCCAAAGTACTTACTTGTAAGTCATCAGCTCCTTCAGCTTCATTTTTCAATGCTGAGCATCCTAAGAACACAGGTAAAAGTTAATTAAGCATAGCATTTCTGTCTTAGATTTTAGTATTCATTAACTGGTGTCATTAAATCCCTTCAGAAGACTGATCAGAAATTATTCTGGGCTGCCTGGCAACCCAGTTAGATATTGGTCACTGGTTCTTATCCTGTTGTTAAAAGGTGTTCCTTCATCTACAGATAAATTTCCAGTTACTTACTAAAGAGATGTTTCCTCTTCAGAATTTATAATGTCTTGTAATAGAGAAAAAATGACTAATGTTTCACAGTAATTTTCCTGAAGTAGAAATTAGATTGTTTTTCAAATTCCAATCTTTTTAAAGTAGCATTATGAAAACAATATCTATACTAAGCATTTACATGTTTCTGTCTGTTGTTTTTCTCATAAATTAGTTCATTTCTTCAAATTTCCCTGTAACATGCCCTCTTAAAACATATATAAATCACAATGTGGTCTTACATGTTTGATTCAGTTATTTTACATAGAAAGTTATCTATTAATAAATATATTTTCCTTCCTAATTAGAAAAAATGTATATCTCAGTTATTTCTCCCTTTATGTAAAAGTTTTAATGTGATTTCTTTTTGTTTAAATAAGCATTAAGCCAGTTTTACATGAAAATAAATACTTCCTTAAAAATCCACATTTTAGGAGCTGGGACTGTAGCTCAGTGGTAGCACCACTTGCCTAGCACACATGAAGCACTGGGTTTGATCCTCAGCACCACATAAAAATAAATAAATAAAAAATAAAGGGCTAGGGCTATGGCACTTGCCCTTGAGGTATCGCACTTGCCTGGCATGTGTGAGGTGCTGGGTTTGATTTTCAACACAGCATATAAATAAATAAAATAAAGGTCTATCAACAATTAAAAAATATATTTTAAAAAATCAACATGCTTTAGAAATTAATCACCTTGACAGACCACACATACAGCAGAATATCTCCCTAGGATTTTGATAGATCTTACTGGTTCCCTCTTCTTCAAACTCTTTATTTTAAAACATTAGTCTTAGCTGAAGGCTACTGATATGTGCCAAATAACAAATGCAATTGGTAGAGACTATAATTTGACAAATATAGAATTGGCTAAGAAGTCCATTATTTCATCTTTACCTATTGTGAGATTTCCAGGCCTGGTCACACAATGTAAAAGCTGGTAAGAACTACTGTGGGTTAACTTTTAAGAAAGATGACCTCTACTCTGTATATTTAACACATAACCTGATAAATAATCAAGGAAACCTACCTTGAGAAATATCCTCGATGGCTCTTCGAATGCCTCTATCAAAAGCCCTAGCATCAGCAGGACTTTGAAAGGTAAGGCCAAATTTCTTGTCATCAATCTTCCAGTGGTGAAATGTTGGAGTGACCTTATTATAAATAAGGTCTTTTTTAAGCATACATTCCAAAACCACCTGTCAAAAGTCATATACCAACATTAACATATGTATTTCAAATATATCTAAGGTAGCTCTTAGTTACAAAATAAGGTGAGAAAAATTATCTTTTTAAATAAATAATAGATAATAAATATTCTTTTTTTAATTTCAATTTAGGATTTTATTTTTTATTGATTTTTAAAAAAATAAATGACAGCAGAATGCATTACAATTCTTGTTACACATATACAGCACAATTTTTCATATCTCTGGTTGTATATGAAGTATTTTTGCATGAATTCATGTCTTCATACATGTACTTTGTTTTTGTTTGTTTTTTTAATACATGTACTTTGGATAATAATGTCTATCACATTCCACTATCCTTGCTGACCCCCTGCTCACTCCTTTTCCCTCCCACCCCTATGCCCTATCTAGAGTTCATCTTTTTCTTCCATGCTCCCTCCCTACCCTACTATAAATCAGCCTCCTTATATCAGAGAAAACATTCGGCATTTGTTTTTTGGGGATTGGCTAACTTCACTTAGCATTATCTTCTCCAGTTACATACATTTTCCTGCAAATGCCATGATTTTATTCTCTCTTACTGCTGAGTAAAATTCCATTCTGTATATATATTACATTTTTTTATCCATTCATCTACTGAAGGGTATCTAGGTCGGCTCCATAGTTTAGCTATTGTGAATTGTGCTGCTATAAACATTGATGTGGCTGTGTCCCTGCAGTATACTGATTTTAAGTCCTTTGGGTATAGACAGAGGAGAGGGACAGCTGGGTCAAATGGTGATTCCATTCCCAGATTTCCAAGGAATCTCCATAAAAGTAATAAGCTCTTGATCTCAATTTACATCACAAAATCATTCAATAAAAAGCTCAAAAAGTGGTAGAGTGCTTGCCTTGCATGCACAAGGCCTTGGGTTTCAATCTCCTGCACCAAAAAAAAAAAAAAAAAAAAAAAAAAGCCTCAAGATGGGAATCAAAAAGACCGTGCAATTTGTAAACAGGATGTTTATTATACTCTCATTTTAAAGAAAATACATACTCCCATATTTCAAAAAAAAAAAAAAAACAGGAATTATTTTTGGGAAAGAGGCAGGGTGGTGATGGTAGTGGTGATTACAGAAACTTTAAAAGCACCTCCCTAAATTCTTTAAAAATCTATTAATATTTTGTTTGAGAATTTAATGGACATAGCAGCAGATCAAATTCCTGTTTTGCCACTTTCTCAGAATACATATTAAGTAGGTTACTTAACCTTTTAAAGCCATAATTTCTTCATCTTGAAAATAAGAATTGCAATATTAAATACCTCATATTATGGAATTACTTAATAGGCATTCACATAAAAAGCTCCAGGAACTGTGTGGAACAATATGACTTTGTTTGATTCCCCCCCCCCAACACTTTTATTTTGAAATGATATAAAATTTACAGAAAAGTAACAAGAATAACATAGAAATTCATGTCTGCCCTTTACCCAAATTTATCACATTTACTTTTAGCATTTCATCTCTCTTTCTCTCTGAATATCTCTATATATAAACATGCATTTATTTTATTCTGAACTATTTCAAAAAGCTTACATATATAATGTCCATTGCTCTTTAATACTTGAGTGTATTTCCTAAAAGCAATGCTGTTCTTTTATGTAATCATTGTACACTGATCATATTCAGAAAATTTAAAACTGAGACAACACTTTTATCTAATTTATAGTCTATACTCTAATTCTGTCCAGTGTGCTAATAATAACTTTTATAGCATTTTTAAAAACTTCTAGTGCAGGATCCATTGTAGGATGACAGATTACATTTACTTGTAATGTGTCTTCAGTCTTTCTCAATCTGGAACACTTTCCTTAGCCTTTAAATCCATGACATTCATAGTATAATAAACATTAGATATCATAATTACTATACAAAAGTAAATTTGTAGTAATCCTTGCAATTAGCCTAATTAGTAAAAAACGAAAACTACACATCTTAATTATTTTAGGGAACATCCTATAAAAAAGCAGGAGGAATGAAAAACCATCCAAATAAATCCTAGATCCCATATCCTATTTTATTTTTTATAGTACTCATATGATCGGATAGTTTTATTAATACGCAGGCAGAATACTTTTATAACAAGTATAAACCTTATCAGACAATTCTCCCTTGCTTCAATGTCTTCAGTCTTCTCAATGTTTTCAATATTGAAGCCAAAATTCTTATCATGAACTACTAGGGCCTGCGTGAGTAAAGCTCCATTTTTATTCCCACACTCTTCCTAAATCTACGTTCACCCATCACTTAAATCCACCATTCACATCCTTTGGTGCCCACTCAGTACTAGTCCCTCTCTGGAACTCTTCCTTCATCTTAACCTTATAAAAACATTCTACTCAAGATACTAACTCTTGAGTTTGAATACAGTGGTGCACATCTGTATCCCCAGGGACTCAAGAGGCTGAGGCAGGAGGATCTCAAGTTTGGGGCCACAGCAACTTATAGAGATGCTGTCTCAAAATAAAATAAAATAAAATGGACTGGAGATGTAGCTTAATAGAAGAGTGCCCCTGGGTTCAATCTCCAGTATCAAAAACAAAAATTAAAACTCAAATAAACAACTCACATTTAACCTCCCAGGTAATGTCTTTTTTGATCCCTAGATTGGATATGGTCTGATAAGGTCTCTGGTGTACTTTCCTATATGTATTTATAATTTTGTTTTGTGTGTGTGGTGCTGGGGATTGAACCCAGGGCAAGCACTTTACCAATTGAGCTATATCCCCATCCCGTATTTATAATTTTTTAAATGGAGTGACTAATCAATGCCATTAATCTAAAAGCTGAGTAAGGGCAGAGACTGCCACATTTGATCATCACTATATTCTGTCTTTATAATACAGTAGCAACCATACATTAAGTACTCAACAAATATTCCTCCTCAGAAAAATGCACACTGTTTTTCTAGAAATTATCAGGTTTTATGTACTCCCCTTGAAACTCACCTATGGATCATATTAATTAAGAACCTCTGATACTTTAGGAATGATTCAGGTTCAACACAACCACTGGTATGCTAGAACCTACTAATACTGGCTTCTGAGAGCCAAATGTTAATTTTTTTAGGAACTTTGCTGGTCATTATTAAAAACTAAATTATATATCCTTACAATTAAACAAGTTACACCAAAACCAGAGTAATAAATACTTAAAATTCATATTTTCCTAATTATTTACTGCATTTTACAATTACATATGTTCTTGAAACAGTAGTTTATCTCTCTCCTATCTACATGGTAAAAAAATTACATAAGCTGTACTACTGCTAATTTCTTTCCAATGCTGAATTCAATGATGTATTTAGTGAGGTTATACTGACAGAAATCAACCAATGTGCAATTATGCAAATGCTAGAAATCACTGCCTTTGTTCCATCTTCAAAGCTGTTAAATCTTTTTCTCTTTTGTAGTTGTAAATGAACAGAATGCCTTTATTTGTTTATTTTTATGTGGTGCTGAGGATTGAATCCAGTGCCTCATATATGCTAGGCAAGCACTTTGCCACTGAGGTACAGCTCCAACCATAACTGTTAAATCTTTATCAGCATGTCACTAACTATAATGAGTCTTGATAGTAAGTTTTATTAATTCCAGAATAAATAACCAAGAAAGTGACTGTTTATAAGCAATGTAATGAAACTTCCTCAACAGTTCTGCTACCTACACTTTGATGACTCTACATGTATTAGAAAAGAATAGACATATATCCATGGCTTTTATGAATTAGTTTTTTGCTAAGGCATTTTAACACAGATTTATTACAAAAACATTTTGCTGGGCATGGTGGTGGTACATGCCTGTAATTCCAATGACTTGGGAGGCCAAGCAGAAGGATGATGAGTTCAAAGCCAGCTTAGTAACTTAGCAAGACCCTGTCTCAAAATAAAAAGGGATAGGGATGTTGCTCAGTGGTAAAGCACTTTGGGGTTAAATCCCCAGTACCAAAACAAACAAACATTTTGAAACAATAATAATGATTCAATTGATAATTAAATCAGTTCTGGAATTCAAGAAATATACTATTATATCAGGGATTGCTGCAATGTTTTTACTATATTCATTCATAAATAGTAGGAGTAGTAGTATTTCAGAAATTATGTTAAATTGAAATTGTGGCATATATTGTAATCCTAGCTAAAGTTTAAATATATGCTAACTATGAAAAATATAGATAAATAAGTAAACTCTGGAATTCAAGACAAAATGAAAACTACTCAGCAAAAATGTATTAAAATCTAATTTGTTAAAGGGACAGAAAAAAAAAAGGCTTCCTCCTATACTACCAGGTTAAGAGAGAGGGAGAAAAAAGATGGTTAATGAGAATGGATCTATGAGTAAAAAGTGTCCAAAATAAAATGATTCAGCTATGAAAAGTAGAAGGGACAGGATTCCAAGGATGGAGAATTGGTATAGTTGAGAGGAGTTTGCTATAGTTGTTAGTTAAGTTTGTGGGCTCAATAGCTAAAACCAATTGGGTCAGCTAGTCTCCACCAATTACTAACCAGCTCACTTCTGAGAATTAATTAATGTAATAAGTGAATTATTCAAAATAATGCCTTTCATAGTCAACTATCAATAAATACTAGTAGTGATGATGATGTTGGTCACTAGGTAATACCCTTGTCGATGATAAGTTAGTAGATATGAGAGGCTGGGAGTTGTGATTTGTAGGGGAGATATTTTTTTGAGTACAGTACAAGAAAGTTTCTGAATGGTAAGTATAGATACTCCAAACTTCAAAGAGCTTATGTAAATAGATTCTGAAGAGTTTATGTTAATCAATTCTAAAAGCAATGAAATATTTTAATGTGCAAAGTTTTCCCTTCATTTGAAAGAAATTCCAGGGTAAAAATTTATAAAAGGAAAAAAGGGGGATAAGGGGAGTGGGGGACTGTGGTCATTAAACTAAATCTTCTAAAGATGTGTTCTATTTTGGGAAATATAGAGCAAAACTCCCATCATAAAA